ACTCTAAAACCTGTTCTTCAATGTAGAGTAGCTAAAGCAAATGGAGAAAATGATAAAGTAAAAGAGCTGAACAGATTTCAAAGGGAAACAACAAAGTGAAGTATTATAGTGTGCAAAGAACTGGAGTTAGAAAACCAAGAGGGAGGAACATGCTTGCCATTTCTTAAGTTGCAAGAACTAAAAAAAAACTTCAAGCTTCGAGTTGTACTATTGAAAGACTTTTTGGGCAAAACATTGAACAATGCAGGAAGCATCAAAAGAACATGAAAAGAATATAGAGTCACTGTACCAAAAAGCATTAGTCAACGTCCAACCATTTCTGGAGGTACCACATGATGAAGAACCAATAGTACTGAACAAGTCCAAGTGCACTGAAGGCAAGGTGAATACCAAGGCCCCAGGAATTGATGGAATACCCACTGAGATGTTTCAACAAACAAAGGTAACGCTGGAAGCACTCACTTGTCCATGCCAAGAAATTTGCAAGACAGCTACCTGGACAACCAACTGGAAGAGATCGATATTTGTGCCCATTCCAAAGAAAGATGATCCAATGGAATGCAGAAATTATTGAACGATATATCATCAATATCACACACAGGTAAAATATCGCTGAAGATAATTCAAAAAATGGTTGCAGCAGTACATCTACAGAGAACTTCCCAAAATCCAAGCTGGATTCAGAAGAGCATGTGGAACAAGGAATGTTAACTGATGTCAGATGGTATTGGCTGAAAGCAGAGAATATCAGAAAGATGTTTACCTGTGTTTTACTGACTATGCAAAAATATTTGGCTGTGTGGATTGTAACAAATTATGTATAGCAATGTGTCCAACCATTTCTGGAGGTACCACATGATGAAGAACTGATAGTTTTGAAGAAGTCCTAGCACACTGAAGGCAATGGTAATACCAATGTGAACCACATGAACAATACCATGTGATTACCATGGACCTCACCAGATGGAATACACAGGAATCAAATTGACTACATTTATGGAAAGAGAAAATGGAGAAGCTCAATATCATCAGTCAGAAAAGCCTAGGGCTTGACTGAGGAACAGACCATCAAGTTGCTCATATGCAAGTTCAAGTTGGAGTGAAGAAAATTAAAACAAGTCCACACAAGCTAAAATATGACCTTGAGTATATGACACCTGGATTTGGAAAGCATCTGAAGAATAGATTTGACACATTGAACATCAGTGACTGAATACCATGTGAACAATGGGAATTCCAGAACACTTAATTGTGCTCATGTGGACCCCGTATACAGACCAAGAGGCAGTCACTCAAATAGAACAAGGAGATGCTGAGTGGTTTAAAACCAGGAACGGTGTGTGTCACTGTTGTATCCTTTCACCATACTTATTCAATCTGTATACTGAGCAAATAATCTGAGAAGCTGGACTAGATGAAGAACATGACATCAGGATTGGAGACTCATTAACAACCTGCAATATGCAGATGACACCAACTTGTTTGTGCAAGTGAAGACGACTTGAAACACTTAATGATGAAGATCAAAGACTACAGCCTTCAGTATGGATTACACCTCAACATAAAGATGACAAAAAAAATCCCTCCTAACTGGACCAATAAGCAACATCACGATAAATGGAAAGAAGAACGAAGTTGTCAAGGATTTCATTTTACTTGGATCCACAATCAACGCTCATGGAAGCAGCAGTCAAGAAATCAAACATACTGCATTTGGCAAATCTGCTGCAAAAGATCTTTAAAGTTTTGAAAAACAAAGATGTCACTTTAAGGACTAAGGTGAGCCTTACCCAAGCCATACCATTTTCACGATGAATAAGATCAATGAATAATTGATCTATGTGAATTATGGTGTTGGGGAAGAATATTGAATATACCATGGACTGCCAGAATAATGAACAAACCTGTCTTGGAAGAAGTACAGCCAGAATGCTCTTTAGAAGCAAGGATGGTGAGACTTCATCTCTTGTTCTTTGATCATGCTATCAGGAAGGACCCATCGCCGGAGAAGGACATCATGGGTGGTAGAGGGTCAGCAAAAAAAGGAAGCCCCTCAGTGAGATGGATTGACACAGTGACTGCGACATAGCAACAACTCTGAGGACTGAACAGGACTGGGCAGTGTTTAGTTCTGTTGTACACAGGGGTGCTATGAATCAAAATCAACTTGATGGCACCTAACAACACGAAGTGAATGTCATAGCCATACAGTAGAGTACTGTTCAGCCATTAAAATGATGTCAACATTAATGATATGAAAAGATGTTCAAGATAAATTAAGTGGAAAAGAACTTTATGTGACCATATGTTATTGATTCTGCATGGTGAGATTGGATAATTCTTATTATTTACCTTTTACTCAGTATCTTCTTACATTTCTACCATGCACATTTACTGCTGATGTAATTAAAGAAAACTGTAAGATAGGACAGGATAGTACTACATGACCCACCTTTCTGGTTACCATACACTCTTAATGAAGGCAAGTGGTGGTGGGGAGCACTGCAAGGGTTTTCCACTGTCTGTTTGAAACACATGCTCCCGGGAACTCTGTTGCTTCTCTCAGCACTTTCCAAAGTGGATTCCATAAAACAGTTCACAGGACATTAATGGGAGTTGCCATGAAAAGGGCTCAAGGTCCAAGTTTTGGGAAATGCTAGGTTAAGGCAGATTTTGTTGGTGTAGGACTTCTCAGAATGGATGATAGGCATCTGCAGCAGGAAAGGACATGGCTCATTTGCCCATAGAACCCTTTTGTTTTAAGTCCAGTGCAGAAGCAACAGGACTTCTACTAAACATATTTTGGGAAATGCCAACATAGAAGCTGAACAAGGATTGTTTATACCACGTATTTCCATTGAGGGTCTGAATGCTTCTGGCCTATTTTCCCAGAAGTAGATCAACTCATCTCAAAACAGTTTCACATTCATCTTATTTTTGTGGTCTCAAGCTTTATTGTTTTACACAATTTGCATCTTGCTGTCAGGTCATTTAGAGAAGTGTAAATTTCTATCCATCAGTGAGTTGGGTAATAAACTTGAGTGGTCACAACCCACATTTTAAAACAACTGAAATAAATTCAGCAACGATAAGTAGCAAATATTGTTTTGTGTAACCATATGTAAGTGTGTGTACCAGTCACAATATAGGCATCTGCCTATATTGCCTATATTTATTACTTTGAGTTGTAATGAAAGAGACTTGAAAGCCACTGAATTAAAAGGATGAATTTATTGGTAAATAGATAAGATCAACACCTATTCCAACACACCCAAACCTCTTCCTTGTATATATTAGGTAAATTAAAAGGAAAAAAAAAAAAGCAATACACTTAGCTAGATTGACCCCCAACTTAAAAAAGAGTTAAAAAGTCTGTTTGGATGTCAACTGCTTGGAGTTTTTCTTCAAAGAAAAAGTTTTAAAGAGATTAGTAAAGAGATTAGGTTCCCAGTTCATTCACAAAAGCCAATTTAAACAATATAGCTTACCTACAGTAAAGTTACTACAAACTTAAATTTCTCTAAATTCCCTATTTATTTCTATTGCAAGGGCCAATATGTCTCCAAGGACACATTCTCCCTATACCCCACCCTGGTCCCAGCACGAGACCCCTCAAAGTGCAGGCAAACAGCCACCTGTCTGCATGTGGTTTCCCAGGTTATGCTTAGGATTTGGGAAGAGCAGGGGAAAAAAAAAAAAAAAAAGGTCAGAGGTAGAATGTAGGGGCTCCCAAGAGCATCTTCCTGAGGCCCCGAGCAGGCTTTCCTCCCCCTCCATCCTGGTTCTGCCGCAAGGTCAGGGATGAGAAAGCCACGTGCTCACCAGCAGTTATTTTTCATATTTATCAAGCTTTAGGAGAGACTAGCTACTTACTGAAAACAGAACAATGGTTCTCACTGAACCTTTTTTCAGGCCCCAGTTGAAACCTACTGGTTTTCACGTCAATAACTTGCTATTGATAAAATTAATAGCTCATCACTTGACGACTTTTCTCATAAACTGTTTAGAGATTTTTTTTAAAATCCTATTACCAATACGTTTCTTTTCACCAAAGGAGACATGTCAGTGCCTACAGAAGCATGACCTATAGCATGTGATGTTAAATACAGGGACTCAGGGTAGAGTGCCATGCTAGATCTTAACTCTGTGCTCTTATCATTTCAATTTGGTCCAGAAGAGTGCACATGAATGGAAAGTTCAGTACAAGCTACTCCTAAAACCAAACCAAACTCACTGCCAACAAGTCAGTTCTGTAGAGTTTCCAAGAAGCAGACTGCCTCATCTTCCTCTTGGAGTAGCTGGTGGGTTTGAACTGCTGACCTTCTGGTTAGGAGCCAAATGTCTCACCCACTGCACCACCAGAGCTCCTAAGCTGTTCTAAGAAGTCCCTCAAATACTACAGTAACTCTCAGCATCATTCATTTGGGCAGAATACCAACTGACATTACTAACAGGATTTACCCAACATAGAACAAATCTGAACCTAAATTCTCCAGGGGGACACACTGGTGCCAAGCAGGAATGAGGTTTTGAGTATAATGCTGGCCCAGTAAATCTTTGGCCTCTTTTGGCTATGCCAGCTATCTGACCCCAACACTCACTGGCACAGCTCCAGGAGCCCTGGGCAAAGGAACAGGAGTGGCAGGAAGGCTTCTCTGTGCAGCCTCAGCTTGACAGAAATTCAGCACAACTGGCTCACTCTAGTGGTCACCTCATCACCTGGCCTCTGCTCCTGCCACCAAGTAGACAGTACTGTCAATCTGCATCCCAGACCCTGGGCCTACCAAGACTTTTGCAAGCCTCAGGAAAACTGCTTGCAAGAGCCACCACCAGTATGCCTCAGCCACCAGCAGCCTGAGCCCTCCAAATGGCAGACACGTTGATTGGTGGCTAACACGTGCCAAGATTTTCCAGTTCTACCTCTTGCTTTTAAGTACCAGAACAAGCCTGGGAGGTTGAAGGAGGGAAAGGGGGAGAAATCATTTCAGCATATACATTTCAGGTTCTGCCAGACCACCTTTTATTACATCGAAAAAGCAACACTAGGCACTAGATCTTGCAAAATATGTACTGACCAACTCTAAACTTTCTGGAATTAAAAATGCATAACCACATCTGTAAGGTTTTTAATGAACAAAAAAGTTAAATACAAACTCTCATATGCAAAATAGATTACTGTATAATTGGCAACCTCAGAGCCACATATTAAATATTCTTCCACAAATTTCAGTGGGGTGGAGTGGGGAAATGTTAATCCTAATGAATACAAAATTAATTTTGGCTTTATATAGAAAAAAACTTTGAGGAAAAATAGCTTTAAATTGACTAGTATCTTTTGAAATAAACAGCTCAGGCCAGCCCTTACCATTCTGAGGTTTATGCTCAATCAGATCTGGAGTGAGAATGAAGATTTGGGGTTTACAGTTACTTCAAATCCAGTTTTGAGAGTAAGCCAAGTCACCTCATTTCAGAAGGGGAAGTCTCTTTAGAAGGACCGTGACACTCTTCTGAAGATGCTCAGACTGCCAGAGTTCCACTTTTCCACAACTCGGTGCCAATGCTGTTAGCATCAGGCCCCTTCTGAGAGGCAATCAGAGCCTTCCTCCACAGCACTTCTCTGCGCATGTTCAGCAACCCCCTCACAAAAAGATCTCCAGCTTCAAGTTGGCAGTCACTGCTCCAGCATTAGAGATATTAATTAACTCTTCCTTCCTCCCCTCTCAATGATTACGCTCTTGATCTTCAGTGGGGAGTGGCAGCTTGATTAACTTTCCTTTCAGAAATAAATAGTTCAAACAAGTAATTTAGGGTTATCTATAAAAGAGCAGGGGAAACAGCCACTGCCCAGTATGTTTGCAAACGAGTGAGTGGATGAATATGCATGAACACACAGAAGAAAACAATTCACAGAAGAAATCCGGCATTTCCCACATTCATAGGGAAAAAAAATTTAAAAAAATTAATTAGCGTTTGTTCTTGTGTGGGTTGAGCGGTCCAGGGCTCTGAGCAGGCACAGTCCTTACAGGTGGGGTTGCAAGCAGCCCTCTGCACACCAAGTCAGGACTAGGGTGCAGTCAGAGGCCTTCATGCACTTTGACAGCTCAGTACCTGGAAGAGAACAGAGGTGATGCAGGGACTTTTTAACCCACAATGCATGAGGTATATGGAACCGTCCGGGAAGGAACCACCGCAGCTAGAGGGGCAGGCGGGGCATTCTCACAGCAATTGCTGATGCAGGATTTCCCACACCATCTTCTTCCGGAAGAGAGGCATCTGGTGCTGTAAAGAATCCCAAAAACAAACAAGCGTTACACGTGAACGTGCACAGCATCACCACCTTTAAGTGTAATCATATATTTTCTGTAAGCTTTGATTTTTTTAAAAAATTTATTGTGTTTGTGGAAGTTTACATGGTAAATTAGGTTCCCATTTTAACAATTTCTACACAGTTTGTTCAGTGATATTGGTTACATTTTTCACAGTGTATCAACTTTCCCATTATTTTCATTCTGGTTATTCCATCTCCAATAATCTAGTTCTCCTGTCCCCAAGCCTTGACTTTTGTTACAACATGGTGTATATTTAGAAAGCCATGAAAAAGGAAGTTTATAACTATGTATCATAAGCATTTTCACACATAAATGAAAATAAAAGCAGAATGCAGAATTACACAAAAGAAATTTCATAATAAAAACATGTCCCAAAATATGAACCCTTTTGCATATACAGTACTGAGTTGTCAGTGAAGGCAAACATGGGTATATGGATGGATAGATAGG